TGATCGTGTTGCCTCTTGTATCGGTGTTGGCGAACGTGGCTATTGCTAAAGCATTTGGTAAAAGATACACGTGCTATAAATTCGGAGACCTGTATTCAAGAGATGTTGTCGGAAATAAAAATTTTCAAACGCTTATAATTAGAAAATGAGGATCCTTTCCTTAAATACGCTACTCCGCAAAATTAAAGAATCTTGAAATTTTCACCGAAAGACTTTGTCGATCTTTGAACTGCTGTAATTTCGTGAAAAAAAAATCGTACAATCTAGCTAGGCTCACTTTAAAGAATGAAGCCTCTACTTTCACATTCCCAAACGGAACTTTTTCAAAGAGTTTTTTATATTATAAAACGAAGTGGAAAACTGATGTTACTTTTTCTTCTAATTTTGCAACTTCAAACGACTCTGCGGAGATTAACAAATTTTTTTTCGAGATTCGTTTTAAAATCACTTTGTAAAGGGAAATTCCCTCTTTGTACTAACCTTTGAAAAGTTGATGTACGATTTTTTGTCGCTGTTTTATTGAACTTTAAATGAAAAGTGTGCCTTATGATGGATGCTTATGAAAGAGCCTTGTAACAGATTCTTCGAAAGTAACAATTGAAAAGTTTATAACGCGTTAGTATATTTATTTTGCATTTATTTTACATTTTCTATTTAAAAAAAAAAATTACAATGAAAATAAATTTTAATAGAAAATTAAAAGGCACGCCTTGGATTTCATTGAAAATGCCAATATAATCAATCTATTAGTCAACTGCAAGTGTTTTTAAACGGAGAACGTTGAATTACTGGAACTCCTCCAAATTCGCATTATGTTTTTGGACGCCGTCGATTCGGAAAGATTCGAGTTGGAAACACCTTTGTCCTCGACAAATCGGTGAATTAGATTAGATTAGAAATCATTTATAAATAAGAAGAAAAAAAACATTGTTAAAGATCAAACCTTAGAAAAATTCGCTTCGCGACGAAAATTTCCGAATAATCTTGTACATATTGTTAAATACAGGTCAACGCAATTTCTTCATTTCTTTTTTTTAAACATATCGACGAAATAAAGGACGAGTGTTTGTATATTTTTAGCAAACGGCAGCAGCGTAAATGCAACGCAAGAAATGTTGACGCTCGGTTTGTGTAATATACTCGGAAGCTTCGTCTCGTCGATGCCAGCCGCAGGAGCGTTCACCAGAAGCGCAGTGATTTCCGCCAGCGGTGTACGAACGCCTATGGCTGGTATATATGTCGGTAATATTTTCATTTTAATGAGCAAAATGATTACAAAACTGAGAAGAATATGTAATATTTGAACGTTGAACACGTTGCAGGTACTATGACGTTATTAGCGTTAAGCTTTCTAACGCCGTATTTCTATTATATTCCACGGTCTACGCTTGCAGCCGTGTTGATAAGCGCGGTGATATTCATCATTGACTTGAAGATAATAAAGTTACTGTGGAAAGGATGCAGTGAGTACTCGTTTATTTCTATGTACAGGGCCGTGTTCACCATAAGGCGCAAGCTGAGGCCTCGTTCTATGGCACGTATGGGTGAAGGGGGGGTAGGAAAACAATAAAGAATAGGCGAAAAAGTTAAGGCGCGTTTCCGTCCTCTGGGCCTCTCCCCTCCTACTGGACTCGTCATCAGTAAGGCTTTGTAAGCGATTTGTGCCTTAGACGCGGGAGGGACTGGAAGAACTTAGGTCAGAAGGTGTATATGTCTTATATATACCAATAGGAGCCTTTATGAGGACTAGCGAGAACTTGTGGTTAGTCCGTCCCTCTGGTGGCAAAGCGTAGGAGGGTCGCTACACGGGTAACCCCCTCCCCGCGGACCGAATACCGGATCCATAGCTGTGAAGTCTTTAACCCTTTCGCTGCGACAAATTTTAGTACATAAATAGTACATAACTTTTCACAAAATTTTCTTTTTTGGCCGTATCATTTGAAAATTCGTTTTATTGAGAATTAACGCGGAAGTGTGCAGAGAATAAAATTACGGCTTAAATTAATATGGAAGTGCGCCAAAAGGCTCCAATAGCACAATGCGAACGAATTTTCAAAGCGCCTACAGGCGCCAATAGCAGTAAAAGGGTTAAATCTGGCCCTCTAGGTACTAATTACTATCGTGTTTCATTTTATTATTTTATTTAATATACTAGCCTTCTATACATACGCACATTCATACATAGTCATGCTAAAATCCATTTAGTCTAACCGTTGGCTCGAAGAGAGAATGATAATTTGACCATAGAACCAGGAAAAGTTGCCCGTACCCTGTTCTATGGGGCCATATTTTAAAAACTTACTTCTTACAAACAATAATATAAAAAACAGCCTAGATATAGTTGCAAAATAAAATACATACTTTTAAATATTAAACTTTT